GAATACCTCCATTGAACCTCCACAAACTCTTAGAATTTCTACATCAATAGGTAAAATAAATTCCTCTTAATATATAGTTCATATAATTTATGTAAAGCTATCAATGTCAGCATCTCAGTTTCCAAAGGCCAGTGCTCAATAGTCATACTCTCCATGCAGCATCTCCTATGACTGCAAAGTCCAGTGTATGAGAAGCAAACATGGCCACAGATGTTGCATGTACTGGGCTGTCCCAGTGGAGTTGATGAAGTGGTCATGCTCTCACACTGTGTACTTTCTCCTTGTCCACTTGGCCTCTCTCTGATAATCCAAAGTAGTTACATATATCAATAGCCTGTTACAGATTGACTATTGCCACTGAAAGCAGTGTTGAGCTGTGTTTTCCCAAGTAACAGGGGTGATAATAAATATAACAGAGGACTGCCATACACCTTTCCCAGCACTGTGTAGTGGAGCCTTAAAGTAAAAAGTTTTTGTGAGACACATTTTGTCCATTAGGACTTCATCAGACTAAAGTGATGTTTACATTGATGCAACTACATATGTTATAGTCTAGGTTCACATATCGTCTAGTTCACACTCTTCCTTGGTCTTTTGAACAGAGGTTGAGGTTTATCCCTTGTTTCCAGTTGGTTTCCAGTTCCTTCTAAAGTTTGCTTCGGCTCTGTATATCTAACATCTTCACCTGAACTCTAATTATTCACTAATTATTTATTTTACTTTTTGTTTTGTTTTTTTTTCTCTTCTCCACCAACAGGAGTAGATAGGTTCACACTCCTCCCTGATCTTTTGAACAGAAATAGAGGTTTATCACATTTCCTATTCCTTCTAAAGTCTACTTCAGTTCTATACTCTTAAGAATTGTCCTTCCTTATGTTAATCCTACGCAACTCCACACAGTAACCCTCTACCTTGAGCGGCCCTTGGACCTTTTACTGGGTAAAAAAAAATGTTTGTTTTCATCATTGGGCTACATACTTAATGGTGTACCTGTGTATGAGAGATGATCAATAAATCTGTCCCCTAACATATTTTCATTGTCTGAATTTTGATCTGAAATTTTCACTGCATAATATTTGATCAGTGGGATTAATATTCACCACTGAATTCAGTGTATTGACAAGGAGATTATTTTGAAAAACAAATATTTGTTGTGTAAAATAAATGCTTTTTTATTTTTTCATAAATTTTTTTTTATATAGATACATCATTAAATCTGTAGCCTAATAGGCTACAGATTTAATGATGTATCTATATAAGTATTCAGTTTTCTTCTTTGAAACAATGACCTTAAGCAGCAACTAAATTTTTAAATGGAAATATTTTCTGTCTGAATTTCTGCACAACTTTGTGGAACAGACTCCCAAGATGATGCTTTCCCAACTACTACAATTTTAACACCTTCAAATCTAGGGTTAACCATTTTCTATCATACATATCCTCATAAACTGCACTTCTTACCTTCTATGCCCATGCAACAACCTCATTCAGTAACCCTCTTTTTTTGAATGGCTCTTAGACCTTTTATTGGGTGAACATTAAAAAAGTGAAAAGATATTTTGCATTTAGACTAATATCCTCATCTTTGTTGTTATTATCACAACATTATGCCCTCTGGGCTTCTTCAGGTGTCTGTCAATCCCTGGTAACCTTCTGGGAATCTTGAACTGAACCCTTTATTTAATCTATTGGGTTAGATTGTTTGCATTCTACTGTCTATTTTATTCTTTAGATTGTTTTCTTTTGAATCTTGGAAAGAGAAGATTAATGAATCTCGGATGATTGTCCATCTATTTCAGAAAGAAATCACCGAAAGAAATAACTTGGTGATCATGTTGGAGACTTGATCAGGCTAGAATTTGAAAATTCTTTTTCCTTTCTCTCTTTTGATGTATTTTTTGGGATGTGTACATTGCATAGCATGTCTCCCCACAGCTATAGATTAAATAGCAGAGCAGACTGGGCTCTCTAGCCCTAATTGGTAACCAGTCTAGAAGAAAGATAACTCTGAATTCAAAACTAATTAGACATGAGGCTAGTAACTCCTTTCCATAAAAACCAACTTTCTACAGAAACCACGGCAGTAACATGTAGCATGATGAGACTGTGGGCCTATTTTCCTTAAGGGAGTTTAATAGGGCTAATGGAGTGCAAGTGGATGTATTTTCTATAAAATATTTGTTTTGGGGTTTTTTCTTAAGTATTTCTATAAAATACTTAATAAAATAAGTAAATAACTTGTTTAGAAACAGAAAAAAATTGTTTAAATGGAAGGTTCCCCCTCCCTTCATGCTTTGTCCCATAATTTTAATTTAATTAAAGTAATAAAAATGACCATAATTAAAAGCAACAAAATGGGGAAAACAACTATGATAGTTGGCAATATGAAATTATAAAATAATAATAAAAGAAAACACCAGAATGGCCAACCGGTTATTGCTCCTCCCTCATCAGAATTCAGTTGAGGAAAGTAATATTTTTTTGTGCACAACCGATTAAAAAAGAAGCATGAAAAAGAAAATACACACATATCAATAATATATTGGTATGGGTATATTTTTATAACAAATTGGATTCAGTCCTTACAACCATTCTTTCTGTTTACATGAGGAAGGTTGACTTGATTTAATAAAATAGAAAAATTTTGATTTAAGTTTATTTTAAATACCAAGACTGTATCTTTTTCTAGATAGGAATTCTTTATGCATATATTAGAAGAGAAAATAAAAAGGTGGGTGTCTGTATTTATGTTCTCTTGACTTTTTCCTGTTTGCCTGAAATATAAGAAGATAGTTCAGTAACATTAATGTAAATAGAAGAAGACATTTTAGATTATTTCTACTCTGGAATTTTTGTTTGACATGGTCTTTTTTTTTTTTTTAAACCATTGTTTGCAGTTAGTTCAGACTAATTTCCTCCTCCTCATTTTTTTTTTTTTTTTTTTGGTTTTGTTTTGTTTTGTTTTGTTTTTCACGTTTCGGCCATGTACCCTCTGGCTTTCTTCAAATGTTTGTTATGAAAACATTAATCAGAAAGGAACATGCAATGAACACGAGATTCCATAGGCATGGCCCTAGAAATGTAATTGTGTGTAAAGTTCAAGAGGTTAAAGACATTACCAGGAGCACACAGTTGCAGATACCAAATGTGCTATATATATATATATATATATATATATATGAAAGAGTGTACATATTCCCACAGATTATGATTCAGTTGGTTTGTTTTTTTAAATATGTCAACCCTTGTGGGTTATTCAATATTAAAATCAATTTTTTTATTATTTGATTATTAAATAATCTTTTTTTTATTTGAGTTTATAAGCATTTACTGTTTTTTTTTAGTCTGTAATCATTTACTTGATAAGTACCCCCCACTTTAGAGAAGGGGTTTTTCTCTGCAGTCAATGGAATTGGTGTATTCTTGACCCTACTGACAGGGAAGAACTTTTGAAAATATTCCAAAGTACAAAACGCACCTGAAGACACACAGTGAAATATTGTTTTGAAAAAAATCATCAAAGATGAGGAACTTAGTCCAAACCAACCACATACAATGCCATTTTAGTGCAAGATTCAAGACCATATTTTTTTACTTCTTGTTTTCCTTAATTTTTCTTCTTTCCTAGACTCACATCTTTATATCTACACCTGTATCTATGAAACATTTTTATGTCTTTTCTTCTTTTTTTTTTTTTTTAATCATTTCACCCCAAGCAAGGCAGTAAAGCCACTGAGTTAGAAACATTGCTAAGAAGCAAAAACTAAAGAGTAATCAGGACAGTTGACTACTGGACCCTCACACATTAAAAAAGGATGAGAGACTTATATATGATGACTGTCGACTTCTTAAACCAGTATGATCATTGCTGACAAGTGTGATTATTGTTTTTGGTTTTTGTGTAAGAAGTGGGTTTATTTTTTTTTTTTTAATCATATCATCTGAAGCAGTAGTAAAGTCACTAAGACACAAGGGGTTACTGAGTGTGGAAGATTAAGAAAATAGAGAAACATTAAGGAGAGAGAGAGCAATAGAAGAGCAATCAAGATGGTAGATAATGATTGATATTGCATTTAAACTTTTGAAGATCAAAGTTGGCTGGAAAGCATGGAGCTAGAAGAGAGTTCCACAGTTGAGAAGTGAGAGAAAAGAAACAGTGAGTGAAATAAAGGGTTCAGTTCGACATTCCAACCACCTGAAGAAGGCTGGAGCGTACAACGGCCGAAACGTTGTAATAAATATGGCGACAAAGATGAGGACAATAGCCCGAATAATGTAAATAATGTACATAATACCTCATCTCAGAAATATAGACAGATACAGAAAAGAAACTGTTAGCATAGAATTTATGGTTACGTCTAACCAATTCAACTGTAAATTGATGAGACCTTGCTGCCAATCTAGTACTGTGCTTAAACTCATAAAGTCTAGACACCATAGCAAAGAACTCATCAGAAGAATTACCATTAAAAGTATTTATAGAAAAAGCACATGGAGGCCACCTCACAGCTGTAGGAAAGTGACTGAAGCCGAGACACCAGAACAGATTCATAAATACCTGCGTATTGATATATACTTCTGATATATATATATATATATATAAACACACATATACTTTAAAAAAATGGTGAGATGTTAACGCTTTTTCTCCCTCTCCATGACTGCATTATATACATGTGTCTAATAGCTGGAAGCAGAAAAATGGATAAAAGCAGGGGAAAAAAAGGAGAAATCTGAAAGGAGACGGAAAACTGATTTTTATACGACTTAGAATTATTATTCATTGGGATATCGTACACTCAGAGCTTAATTAAATGAGAGGAAAAAAACTGATACTCTATTGCAAACAGATATATGTAAAAGACCAGATAAGTATTGTATACTTCTATTATCTACAAAATTCCTGAAAATTCAAACTATATGGATACTGTTTAATGTTGTTATTTACTAATAGGCATATTTATGACTTACATTATTTACAGTCAGTGCATTCAGCCATATGTTGAAACACCAGTTTTCATACTATCATCAAAGTTAAGCAACATTGAGCTTGGTCAGTACCTAGATGGATGACTGCTTGGGAATACCAGGTGTTTCAAGCTTGGATGTGCAGCTGGTGTAATGGATAACAACTTGGAATTGTAACATGCCTCTCCGATTTCTAATTCCAATCATGTTCGTTATATTCACTTATGCACAAAATACCCTTAGGAAAGGTATGAATCTACCTCTTCTCCCCTTCTATGGGTTAATTAGTAGGTTTTGTATCAGTGAATCATTATTATCCCACCGAAATATTTTTAAAATCTGGAAATATTTTCTAGTTTTAAATAACTTGCAAAAGCTTGATAGGTCATAAAAAACAAATCATTTTACAGTTAGACTAATGGCCTCATTCTTGTTAGTTACAACATTTCAGCTTTTGCACTCTTTAGCCTTCTTTCATTGCTGTAGATTGAATAAAGGGTTTGGTTACCCAGATCAACAATTTCAGACAGAACCCTTTATTCAATTTTCAATGATATATTGTATCCTGTCTTTATGTCTTGGGATATCTCATCTTGGTTAAGACTAGCTATTGCTTGTCTTTTTTTTTCTACTGAGCCTGAGTATATCTTCACTACTCAGCCCCAAAATTGAACTCACAATTATTAATAATTACAGATAAGCCTGCTTCCACTGAATCTGAGTATATCATAACTAAAACAATGGACCAATATGAGATATTGCTAGGCATGGATAGTGAGAGTTTACCCAGATCAATAGACACCTGAAAAAGGCCGGAGGGTGTAATGGTCGAAACATGATCCTAACAACAACAATGAGGACATTAGTCTGACTGTAAATAATAACTCATCATCATAGAAATTCAGACAAAAATATGTGTATATCTCCAGTGAAATTTCCTCGTGTTATACAAGGTCTGTCAGAAAAGTAACAGGGCTGGGTGTATATGAGCTATGGGTGAAAGAGGGATAAGCAGGTTGGGTTATCATCTAACATGATATCTTGTGAGTATATAATTGTAATCTTATCTTTATGCAACCATTGCATTTTTTACCACATGCTTTTGTGGCAGGAAAAATCGTCTGCTTCACTACAGCAATGCACCTGTTCACTCGTCAGGGGATATATATATATATATATATATATAGTCAATTGCTGACAGGTGGACCAAATGATTACAGAAAATGTTTTTCTATGAAAATCTGAAGTCATGTTGCTGAATACAACATCAATCAGCTAAGTGACAAATTTTATATTTGTATTAATCCTGTATATGCTGGCAGTTGTAAAACAGTGGCTGATGTAAAATTTATACTATACATATGCATACAAAGCCATGTTTTTTTTGGTTGCAGCAGGACCAGGATTAATCTTGCACAAAGCAAGATGGGTCCTGCCTGACAGAAGATTTGTCATAATGATTTGAGATCGGATGCTCTTCCTGACACCCAACTCAGATACTAACTGTAGTTCAAGTACACTGAGTGTTTCTATCGAGACATGATTGCTAGGAAGGTTACCATTCAAGGCTTGAGACCCCATCCTAGCCTTTATATATATATATATATATATATATAATTATATGAGAGAGAGAGAGACTTTTGACAGATCTTGTTTTTCATCCTGTGGGGATACATGCCACACTCCTTACCAGCAGAAAAGCTAGTGGGGGAGCTGATTTAGACACCAACGACTCATCCATTTGGCAGGTTGTACTGGGTTACATGTTACTAGTGTCTAAAATTTGTATATATATATATATATATATATATATATAAAGGGTGAGAATAAATGAACACAAGTTTTAAAACCATTATAATACAAAGTAAGCAATTGTGAAAACAATAATATATATTTTGAAACAAATTGGTACAAAATGGGGTTTATGAAATTACAACAAATTTTCAATTGTTCTCTCCATTTTGTTGTATAACCAAGGTTGCACGTTTGATCAAATTATTGACAGACTATTCCTAACTTGAGGTGTACACTCAGCTTCTAAGGAATGTCACCCACTTGAAGGAATATCGTGCAGTGTCTTTGTGGTTTCAAAATTTTCTATCAGATTAGTAATTGTTGATAGAGCAAAAGGATCCTGTTTTAAATTGTTCCTTGTTTTATAAGCTTTCATCATTGCTGCTGCACTCTCATTGCTGAATGAGTTTGTTTTAGGGATGTCACAAGAGGAGGCAAGGAGTGCAGATTATGAGGATATGTAAAATATGCAACGGCCAACCTTAGATGTGAAGAGGTTAGGATTGAAATGATCAAGAAAGGAGGTTATTCTACAAAACAGCAATTCTTGGGAAGCTGCCTGAATGAAATATAATTATATTTTTTATTAATTAATATTTAATGAATTATTTAATTATTAATATTTATTATTAATTATTTAAAATCTTTCTTTATATCTTTATATATCTACCACCACCCAAAGAGGAACAATTATAGTTCCAAAACATGAAAGTTTTTGTGTAGCGATGTAAGGTGTTTTTATTGTAATCTATTATAATAAAAATATATTAATAATTATATATATATATATATATATATATATACATACACACACACACACACACAATGACTAACTTCCCAAAATAAGATCAAATGACTAATCAAGAAAGAGCTTTTGGTTGGTTACCCCATAACCAACCAAAAAGGAAAGGCACTTTGGTTACATCTATACAATTAGAAAATGTATTTGCTGTAACAACTATAATTCCACTTGTATATAGATTAACAGACACCTATAAGATAATCGGTGGCACAGTGAAGTCATGGTTAGCAGGTCAGATTGAGGAATTGGAAAGCTGACTTCAAATTCCAGTCAAGTTCATTACATTCACTTACAGAAAGGTATGAATCCATCTGTTCTTCCCCCAGCTATGGGTAAATAGCAGGACAGACTGGGTCCTGTAGCCTTGTACTTTTTAAAATAATGAGAAAAGTGTCAATTTCTAACATAAAAAAGGTATAAATCTATTTCTTCTCCTCCCCCACTTCACAGCTATAGGTTAAATAACAGGGTAGACATGGTTGTCTAGCCTTAGTTAGCAACCAGTATCAGATAAGTGATTTAAAACCAGTTTGGCATGGAGCTGGTATCTCCAGTCATGTTCATTACATTCACTCATGTGCTAATACCCTTGGGAAAAGTATGAATCCATCCTTTCTCTCCCTCCGATGGATAAATAGCAGAATAGATTGGGTCCCATAACCTTGATTGGTGACTAGTTTCAGAGAAGGAAAAACTCTGAATTCAAAACCAACTTGGAGAAAGTTTGGCACTGTCTTGCTATCTTGCTCAGGAAATACCACTGCAACTGTAGCTGTAGTACATGTGGTGCCCCTATAGCCCTCATGGGTTACAGGTTTAAAAAATACCAAAAAAAAAAAAAAATACTCTACCACACAAAAATTTTGGAAATTAGGTCAGAGTGAACATTTTATTGGCTTTTTGCATATCATGCACACACACACATGCACACATGTGGGTATGCTGAAAAGTTTGGCCAGATCAGAGCTCCTTTATAAAAAAAACAAAAAAAAACTGCTATTTATTCAGATTATAAGACTTAAGTTAGCCCCTAAATCTTTTCAATTCTTTATCTCACTCACTGACTCTCTCACACACACACACACACACACACACATTTTTTTTAAATTCATCCAGAAAGGTCTATCTGTTTCATGTTTTACTGACATTTTCTAATTTTAAAATAAATTCTTCAAAAATTAGAAAAATTTAATAAAATGTAAAACAAGTAAACCTTGTCAGATGAATTCAACAAAAGATGTAAATTAATTCTTGCAGCCTATATACACACACACACACACACACACACACAAATAATAAAAATAAAATCTAAAGCATAAAATATAAAATAAACTGAGGGCTCACTGCCAAAGTTGACAGAGCCTAAAGTCTCATGTAATAACAATCATCAAGTAGAAATAATATATATAAAACACAATTTAATATCAAACACTGATGAAGGCTGCAGTAGCCCAAAATTTTGTAACTAAATAATAACATAAAAAATATACAAAGAATACCTTTGTCATCACATTTTATCTAATGTATCAATATTTATTAAAGACCATTTCTATTTCAATTCATTTTTCTTGAGTACTTACAGTTATTTTGATTTTTGGTTAATGATTATATATATATATATATATATATATATATATATATATATATATATATATATAATTTCTTGACATTGTTTCTCATTACTTTGATCTACAGATTAACATTCCAAAACATATTTGCAAAAAAAAAAAAATACTATATGACATTAACTACCAAAAATGATTACAAATATTAAAAGCAATAAATACGTTAAAAAAAAACTACAATAAACAAAATATTCAGTCACCAGAGGAACCAGTATTTTAAATATTTTTTTTTAAGAAAATGAACATAAATACCAAGAATTAGCAACCTTGTGAAACTGTTTGAATAACTAATGATCAAATAAATTTTAACACAAAATATGACATTACAACATGTGGCATGTTAAAAGGTTCAAACATAAGATGAAATATATAACATGATTCAAACTCTCAGAATAAGATGCCAGGGAAAGCAAGGTGTTACCTTGATTAAAAATAACCTTACTTTCTGAAGATAAGTAAAATTGTCAAAAATTCTTGAAGAAACAATATCAGGAAATAAATTTAGAATCTCAAACCAAAAAATAAAAAAAATACTTGTAAGAAAACAAGAATAGTTAATTAATTAAAAAAAAAATACTGTACAGCCCTACAGTCTTTAATGAAATATACAAACTAGAGAATCTACTGTCAATATATATATATATATATATATATATATATATATTTCCTGTAGTTCACTGCTACTAACAATCATGAATTTTTTTCTCCTGATGATGGCCATGCTGGCCGAAACTAGTCAAGGAACATAATTGAAATAATAAAACAAAAAATGTTAATATACAACCCAGTTTGTCTGAAAATTTTAATTTTTTTATTGTTCAAAACATATATATATATATATATATATATACATACATACATATATGTGTGTGTGTTCTACTAGGCAGAATGGACAGGGAATATTTGTTT